AGACATAACTGCCTAGCTTAAACCTAGCTTGTTTTATACTCTCGAAAAATGTTCTGTTTCTGCAAATGTCATACCAATGTGTTTTTTTATGTTGTTGTGACATTGTGAGCATACCTGTATTTATTCAAAGCACAACAAAAATTATGAATTTGTGGGATTCCCTTGGACTGTTCAGGAACCGAACCAACCCACGAACTGCGGATCACCTCTGAGCTTACTGACCCTTGTTAACCTCTCCTGACACTTCAATCGGTGTGGGTTCTAATTGTGCGGCTTGGCCATCTTGCTTGCTAGAATGCAGGCAGCGGTGTTTGGGCATCGACCGCATGGAACTAAAATCGGACACGTTTACTCCTGAATACTGCTAAACTTTAACGAACACCTACTTCTTCCCCATTCGTGTCAGGAGAGCACCATTTGGTAGGTTTGTTCATATGAACCATACAAATAAATATATTTCTTTTTCGAATATAATATATTGGTCTTTTCAGAGTCATTATACATTAAGCATACTCACATGCAGACACAGGCAATCTCACTGACACACATAAGCTCATTGACACAAAGCCTCATAGACAAACAGCTTACTAATATATATAAGCTCATTGACATAAAAACACAAGCTCACAGATGCACACACTTAGGCTTACTGACAGACAATCTCACTGACACACACAGACAAGCTTATTGGTATACACACAAACGTAGTACAGATAAACTCTGACATTCACAAGCTTTCTACAGACAAGCTCACTGTCACACACACAGGGTGAGTCGAGGTGAGACCAGCACGGCGTGGGAAAACCCCCCCACTTATTTCCTTGCCAATGGAAGGGGTCTGGTAACCTAAACACACACACATACACAATGACAGACAGACATACACACACCATGACACACACATATACCACGACAGAGACACACACACACACACACACAGGCACCATGACGCACACACACCATGACAGACACACATACACACACACACCATGACAGACAGACACACACCATGATAGACAGACACACACACATAGAGACACACACCATGACAGACACACACATATAGACACGCCATGACAGACACACACACATAGACAAACCATGACTCACACATTATTGCTACCTGTGAGGTCCAGTGGGCGACCAACCAGGGAATTGTGCAGGCGGGCGGCATGCTGGGTGATCATGCAGGGCGGGCGGTTGGTGGCACAAATAGGTAGCTGTGCGGTCTCTGCTCGCCAGCACGCAGCTTAATGAGACCGGGACCGGAATATGACATCATATTCCGGCCCCGATCTCATTAAGTAGTGCGTAAAGCGCTATTTGGACAACTTGGGTGCTCAAATCCAGGCTATCCGGGGATGTATAGACTGTGGGGCTTCTTATGTGGGAAATATGTATTTTAATGTGTTTTTATATATAATGTTTTATTCTAAGTCACACTGCATTTCTTGGGCATGTTGTGGGTGTGTTTATGGGTGTGTCTTGGGCGTGTTCACTGTATTCAGATTTTGTATATAAGCAGGTCATCTGGCCAGATTAAAACATTCCAGTTGCACTCCCAGAACTATGTGTCGTCTGTTTACTGGGAAGGGAAAGGGCTAATCACTGATCCAGCTTGTTCCAGCTCTTGGAGGAGGATTTGGCAGGGGAAAGTCCTTGTAAGGACTAGAGCTCCCAGGACTGTGTTTCATCATTTCGTTTCGGAATCAGGGCCGGACTGGAAAAAACATTTTTTTATCACAGCAGTCCACTAAGAAGGGGGCGGGGCAGAGTGGGTATGTTTTGTCATCACTAATGACAAACACGCCCCCTTTTAAAGTGAGCATGTTGGTTCAATGCTCTTCCAGGGCAGACCATGCGCAGAGCTCTGCTGAAGAGCTCTAGCATGAGAAAAAAGCCCCGTATTTGTTCTGCACAGCGCAAGCAAATTTATTAACATGCTTGCACTGTGTTTCCTTGCAACTTGTCTCTGGTGTCTCTATAAATGGATACCAGGAGACAAAAGGAAAAGGCCAGGAAAGAGTATTGTACATGTGTTTGGAGCCTGCTTGTGGGATTGCGTGTGTGTAGAGTGAGCTGATTGTGGTGTGGTATTGTGTAATAAGGTCTGTTTTAGTCGTGTTGTGTTTGTGGTGTAATGTAATGCATATGTGGCCAGGGGCTGTAGCAAGTGTGTGCATACAGGCTATAGTGCGTGAGTGTGTGTGTGTGTGTGTGTGTGTATGTGTGTGTGTGAATGTATAGGTGATGTAGTGTTTGTAGAGAGTGTGTGTTTAGGGGTGTAGCATGTGTTTTCTTACAAGGAATCTAGAGTGTGTATAGGGGATCCAGAGTGTGTATGTTAGGAGTGTAGTGTGTGTGTGTGTGAGAGTGTATATATATATGTATATGTGTGTGTGTGTATATATATATATGTATATGTGTGTGTGTGTGTGTATATATATATATATATATATATATATATAAGTCTAGTGTATGTTTGAAGGAATGTGTATAGGAGATCTAGTGAGTGTGCATATATAACGGATTTAGAGTGTATATAGGGATCTAGTGTGTGTATGTGTGTAGATGATCCAGAGTTGGGTAAGGGATCTAGTGTGTGTCTAGAATGTAATATGTTTAGGGGTGCAGTATGTGTGTGTTGAGTGCTGTGTGTGTGTGTGTATATATATAGATATATATATATATATATCTATATATATATATCTATATAGATATATATATATATATATATATATATATAAGTATGTGTGTGGTGCAGTGTGTTGGGGTGGTTCTGTGTGTATGTGAAGGGGGCATTGGGTGTGTGTGAGGGGTGTAGTGTGTATGTGATGGATGCTGTGTGTGATGGATGCTGTGTGTGAGGGTGCTGTGTATGATGTGTGTGAGAGTGTTGTGTGTGTGTGATGTGTGTGAGAGTGCGGAGTGTGATGTGTGTGTGAGAGTGCAGAGTGTGATGTGTGTGTGTGAGAGTGCGGAGTGTGATTTGTGTGTGAGTGCGGAGTGTGATGTGTGTGTGAGAGTGCGGAGTGTGATGTGTGTGTGAGAGTGCGGAGTGTGATGTGGGTGTGAGAGTGCGGAGTGTGATGTGTGTGTGAGAGTGCGGAGTGTGATGTGGGTGTGAGAGTGCGGAGTGTGATGTGGGTGTGAGAGTGCGGAGTGTGATGTGTGTGTGAGAGTGCGGAGTGTGATTTGTGTGTGAGTGCGGAGTGTGATGTGTGTGTGAGAGTGCGGAGTGTGATGTGTGTGTGAGAGTGCGCAGTGTAAATGTAAGAAGGGATTGTGTTTTGGTAGGGTAAAAAAAAAAACTACGCAGGCATTATATCCCCCCTCCCTTCTTACCTTCAGCCTGGGATGGGGGGACCGGCACAGTGGTACCTGGGAGAGAGAGTGGGAGGGGGGGACCGGCACTCTCACACCATCCCTGGTGGTCCTAGTGGGTGAGTGAACTCTAGCCTGCGAGGCTAGAGTACACTTTCGCAAGATCGGGGCGTTGCCATGGCAATGCTCCCAATCTCGTGAGAGGAACCCGGCGGAGCTGCAAGATAGAGCTCCACCGGGTCCTCCTCTCCCTCCCCAGCCGCATGTTTATGCAAGTGGGGCGGTGAGGTAGAGCTTTGAAAACAGCAAGGCTGGCGTTCAGATAGCGCTGGCCCTGCAGGGGCTGGCAGGGGAGATCCTGTGACCTCCCCTGCCAGCCTCGGCCCATGGCCACCGCGGCCCACCGGGCATTCGCCCTGTATGCCCGATGGCCAGTCCGGACCTGGAGGGAATAGAGCTAGTTCCCTGTTGCAGCTAGGAAGCGGTCCTTGGCGGAGGTACCCAGCCGGGGTACATGGAGCTCAGTTACACTGTGTATAAGGGGTTAAATGATAATTGTAAGTGTGGACGAGTTTGCCTGTGCCCCCTGCTTCCTCATGTAATATATGTGTCACTACCCCTGTGTACAATGCAAAGAGAATACCAGATTACTAAAATTGACCAACCATACTCTATAAATTTTAGGCCTGCCGACTCTTTCAGCCAATTAATAATGTCCAAAGCTGACATGCTTCAGTTTGCTAATACAAAAGTATGAACTTAAACACAGCAGGCAGTTAAGTGCCAAACTGTTCATAAATAGCCTGACAGCTTATCCTGGAACAACACCAGACGATGTCTGGCACCATAATCACTACAAACACTGTAATGGTTGAGGAACTTTGACTTTCCCTTTAACGTAGCAAGCCCATATGTGTACACAAACTCATATTTGGTTATTTTTTGCCACTCTGATTAGTTTCTATTTATGTGGAGTTATCTGTCTCCAGTTGTTGGTGAAATACCAATCTGTTGCTTAGATAGTATTTTTATTTGATACCCAGTTAAGTGGTATACATCTTTTTCTTTGGACATGTGTTAGTAACCTAGTGTTATTCACATATTATTCACCCTTAAAGGGATTCTCCAGTACCAGGAAAACATATTTGTTTTCCTGGCACTGCAGGTTCCCGCAGTGCCCCTCTCCCTCCCACCCCCCATCCCAAGTTGCTGAAGGGGTTAAAACCCCTTCAATGACTTACTGGAGTCCAGTGCCGATGTCCCTCGGCGCTGGGTCAGGCTCCGCCTACTCTCCTCCCCGTCATCAGCCGGCGGTGGAGACCTAATGCGCATGTGCGGCAAAGGCTGCGCACACGCATTAGACCTCCCCACAGGAAAGCATTATATAATGCTTTCCTATGGGGATTTCGGCGATGCTGGAGGTCTTCACATAGCGTGAGGACGTCCAGCATCGCTGAAAACACGGAAGTCCCTCTAGTGGCTGTCTAGTAGAAAGCCACTAGAGGAGGACTTAACCCTGCAAGGTAAATATTGCAGTTTATGAAAACTGCAATAATTACACTTGCAGGGTTAAGGGTAGTGGGAGTTGGCACCCAGACCATCATTATTATATCACATAAAAAATGTATGCACAGCACTTTTAAGATGATTATTACATCCAGCCTGCTGAAATGAGAGACAGGTGTAGGAGAGAGGTATGTAAAAATTAAAGGAACACTAAACCCTTGGGAAAACAAACCTGTATTTCTAACAATGTAATACCCTTGTCCCCAAGTATATCAGTCCCCCCATGTTCAGTACAAATTAGGAAAATTAAAGTATTAATAACCTTTTTCTAACACCAAGGCATTCTTTAATTGCACCATTTTCCACTTGCTTGGTTATCATGAGGCATATATATATTCGTGAATTGACAGACTACTCATGTTTAAACCCTGAGCTATTTCCTACTGAGAATGTTCAAGAAATTACTTCAAAGGACTTTTACATTTTCATGTTGTTATTATTTCTGTTCATTTCCTCTCTGTAAAATGACTGCCCATCACCTCTGCTGATTATTCTAACAGTATATGGCCTTTTAGTGCTAGAAATGATCAAAGACAAAAAATATCAAAAACTCTGACATCATATTTGTAAGCCATGTGATTATTGCTAAATGTAATGCTTTGGGAAATAAAACGTATTTACATTATATTTATTTTTGTATATGTTGTTATTGTTATTTCTTTTTACATATATTGTAAATTTTACAATATGAACAGTAAAAGTATACAGCACAGGGTATGTCGCAAGTTATATTTTGAGCCTAGTTTTACAGCCATTTTAGCACCAATTTCTTTCAAAGTTTATGGTATTTTTTATTTTCAATTTTTTTTTACATGCACAGTGCATTATTTAAATTACTCCATAAAGGCATATAATTTTCACCACAGGGACTATCACATTATATATTTTGAGCTACATTGAGGTGTGATTTTATTCACCAATTCTTTTTCAAAGTTTGTTATACTTTTTAAATTTTTTTATTTATTACATATTTTTTAATTATTACATATTTTTTTCTGCTTATTTTTTAACCTGTTTTGTGCTTGTTTTTTAACCTGTTAATGCTGTTAAGGCATACCATGCTACCCTATAAAAAGTGGGATTAAATGTCGTTAGGGCAGCATGGTATGCCCTAACGATCGTGTGCACAGCAAGCGCTGCTAACTTACTTTAGCTGGCGATCCATCTTGATCCCAGTCAATGGTTATTGCCTGACCTGCTGCCAGTCGAGCCCTCCAGGGCCATGTAATCACAATAACGTCACAATAAGGAGGCTGCAATTGCAGTCTGCACAACTGCCTGGGTTGTTAGGCAGTCCTCCTAGTTTGACTAAGCAACATTGCCCGAAATAAAATTTGTGGAAAAGGGACATTTTGGATGAATGTGTCAACTTTTCTTTCAAAATTCTGTGACACGAGGATGTGCTTTACACAAAGGTAAGTAACGAGGTCTCTAGGTGGAAAAGAGAACTCCGGAGTTTTTCTGCTCTTGATACAATTAAAACCCAAATTGTCTAGAGACTTTTCTTTCTAGCCATATGGGTAATTGGTGTGTAATTACTGTACTACTTGTTTTGGTAAATCTATTGTTATAATTTCATATTTGACATACTTTGCAAAAGAATCCATAAACCACATTAAAGAGGATTTAGGATTAGGAAGAAAAAGAATGCTGCCTGTAAATAAACCCTTTTTTTTTCAACTGTGGGTGCAGAGAGTCCTGCAGTGGAAGGATCAGGTGCAATTTTGTGCACCAAAAGGTACAAGCACTAATATATATTTCAAAGGCAAAAAGGACAGATGAGTTCTGTTAGCAATGGACTCATAGTGGAATCCAGCATTTAGTATGTTTACTGAAGTTTTAGCAAGTAAAGCTAAGGCACATCATAGAAATTTAGATGTAGAGGTTTCGAAAAATACCCTCTTTGTCTCATTGGAGATTTTTTTAAAAACTGACCCCATCATGGCATACCATTTGCAAACGTAGTCAACTCAGGGTATTCAAAATGAGGTAAGTCCACTCTTTTTTTAGTAGTCAGTCACAAACGCTGGTAAAAGTTAGGATTAATATTTTTTTTTTGCATGTTTCACACAAAAACAGCACTGTCATTGATGATATCATAGTCAGTATACATGTTACTGCTCTAAAACACTCATATTTCTATTCAGTGATGTATCACAAATAAAACAGTACCCCACATGTACACGTTTTGTGGGGTTTTGAAAAGTTACAGTGTCAAATATAGGGCTTGCCAATTTTAGTTTGCAAGATTGGTTTGCTGGGCTATGTTGCCTTAGAGACCATATGACAGGCCTGGGGTATGGTGTATGTCCACTATTTGTAGGCACTTAGTCACAAACCCCAAGTCACGTCTCATTTTTTTTTTGTTGCATTTTTTACAAATTCACTGAT